TTGGCGTTAAATTTTTTTATTTTTTGATAGGCTTTTAGAAATTTTTTTTACCTACAATATTTTATTTATAACTTTTTTAATATAAATAGTTTTTGAGATATAAGCATTTTAAAAATTTTACAGATTCCAAAGTGGCTCTTTTTTGTACCTATGAGCCCCTATATCTCGAGAACCAGGTGTTCTAGCGGGCTTAAATAAACGGCGTTCTCATTTTTTTACCTATCTAAATAATTCCAGAAATTTTTAACAATTTTAAAAGGGGTCGGCTGAATCGTGATCGATTTGACGTGGAATGGCCCAACATCAAGCATTCTTGAAAGTAATATCCCTGACATTCATATCACCAATTTCTTGGCCTTCCCAAACCTCATTTGATTTCCAGAATCCCAAGAGGGCCAGACTCGTTGTTTAAACCAAATATCCTTATATAATAATTTTGGGAAATTGGTAAATACTCCATATAGTAGATTGGTGTGTTCATTGTAAGTAATGGTAAAATTAGATTTGACACAATTAAAATCATGCATTTTTTTAGCTTCATATCACAAAATATTTTTCATATAAAAATCAGCAAGTCATTGACTAAAGACTTTACGCAAAAACGAATGTTTTAAATTAAGTGATACAATATATATAAAAATGTAAATTGTAACGCGATAAAATATAAACAAAACTAAAATAATTTAAATCACACTGTAAGGCATAAAACTAAAATATATTTATATATAACACCTTATTACATTGATAGGCTTTTAAAAAACTTCTATTCTAAAATTCCTGCTGTGAAAGGTAATTCTTTTTTTAAGAAAATTCGGGCCGGGTCAGCCTTAGAAATTTTTTAAAATATATCTAAATTTATCAATTTTATGTTGAATTTTTTTATGTAAAATAAAAATATGTGATTTTATTTATAGAAAGTAGACGCCAAATAACATTATCGTTTATTTTGAGTAATTATAAAAATTAATTTCTATATTTAAATAAATTCGAGCCGGGCCGGCAAAATTTTTAAAAAAAATTTCGGATTCGGGTCGGGCAAAATTTTATAAAATAAATTTCGGGCCGGGCCGGGCTTGAAAAATTAGGCCCGATGCAGATCAATAATTCTTTCACTAAGAATATTAAACTCGCATCTTCTAATATTGATTATGAATCCCATGATATCATAACTCACACCTGCAACAAAAAACAGGATGATTTAAAATTAAAAGTGAAGCTGATCAACAATAAAATAAATAACTTGGACATAAATGGTGCTCTTAGACCATGTAGCTCCTTTGATATACATGCTCCAGTGGACGCGGTATAAAACCAAAAACTGTTAGATAAGCAAGCTATAACAATTAGTGAAACTAAGAACCCTTTTCCTATTTAAACTTAGAAAGAAGTATTTAAATCAATCAGATCTTTTCAGATAATTGCTGCTCCTGAATTTGAAGGCATCAAACCTCTCTTTCTTCAAGGCTTAACCACTCCTATCCTGTCATTTTGGAGTACTACTTGTAGCCCTGAGAAAAAAGAAAGGTGATATCAGGCCTATTGCCGTTGGTACTGTATATAGAAGATTATGTTCCAAGCTTATAGCTAGCAGGATTTCTGCACAAATTTCTAACATACTCTTTCTTCTTCAATTAGTTGTTGGAACGAGTTTAGGATTTGAAGCGGCCGCATATATCACTCAAATTTATATTCAGAATGCTACAATCGCTCAACATTTTGCTAAAATCGACTTTAGCAATGCGTATAATAGTATTCCCAAAAAAGTATTCATCATGAACATTTCCCAGTTTTTACCAAAAGAAACCATCCCATTTGGTTTTTGCCATTATGTTATGGTGACTCCCTGAGCTCCATATTATTTTGTCTGGGAATTCATGAGTTGATAACTAAAATCGAAAATGATTGATCACGCCCCTACATCTGAGGTACATTGATGATGGGGTCATCTCCGGCGATTCTGTAGAGGTGGAAAAGACTGTTAATATTATTAAGGCATCCATTGACATCCTTGGACTTGTAATTAACCAAATCAGAACCTAATATTGCGAAATAAATACAACTCCTTTTAATGTTTTTGATTTTAAGCATACCACCGTGAAATATATATCGTATTTGGGCTCTCTCATTGATGAGGTGACGGTAAATTCTTTTTTTTTAAATATGGGTGATATTTTTAAAAATTTAAAAAGCATTCTTCCATCTCTCGGCTCACAAGGCTTTTTTTATTTAAGAATTTTTTCAACATCCCTATCCTTTACTCCCTAGATTCGAGCCCGTTGAGATTCGAAATCAGAATAAGAGTCATTCTTAGTGACTGTTTAAACATCAAGTTTATAGACATATCTTGGTATCAAGCCACACTTCCTTCCATGCTTGGCGATCTTGGAATAAGATCCCTATTGTTGATTTCAATTTGTGCATTCATCGCTAGCCACCTACAGGCACCTAGATTAATTCAACATCTGTCAGTCTCGATACCTTTTTGAATATAACGACGACATAATCTTAAATTTTGCGCTCTATTAAGACTGTCTTTGTTAAAATTAGTAGGGGAGTTCGTGTCCAGACAAGAAAAATCCCATATGAAACTTTCCTTGTGACCATGGAATTCGTTTGATTCCATCAGGAGTCCTACCATCGAGAAAGATTAGAAGGCTTCAATAAGGTAAGAAAACCAGCTGATCTAAGTGCAAGAGATATGATTTGATGGGTTTGCTTTTTGGGATTAATATTGCAATGTAAAGGATGCAGTGCCATATTATTATCATCAGCATTACATTTTTTGCATTCTATATAATGAGAAAGGAATGTCAAGCCCGTTACATAGAGCATAGCTTAACTCATGGTTGTTCAATTCAAGTTTGAGATTATAAAAATTTATATCCCGATTCTTGATATGTGTATCTAGCCAAAGGTAAAAGACTCGAAATAAGGTAATCACAATGGTAGATCCCAATCCTTCTGTTTTACAGAGATCGGAATCGCCAAATAAAGCGATTCTTCTAATTACAAATTGGTGCAAATCATTTGCTCTACTTTAACAACATATGTAGCTTTTGCTTAAAAAAATTTTAAGTCTGCCGCCTAATTAGAAAAAACTCTGGGGATCCTCGTGAAGACTTTTACTTAAGCAGAGGATTGCAATAGTCATTCTTAAGGCTAATTATGTTTATTTTATTAATTCGATCTCTCCTGATGATTAGGGGTCTTTTTCTTTTTTTTGAATTAATGTACTTGTTTATGTAGCTATATTTTTTAACAATATTACATTCGCTTTTATTTATTTTTTATTTTCCATTATTTTATTATTTGTGTTTGATATTGTCATTTTGTTATTATTATTTGTTCTAACCACTATATTTTAAAAAAATATATAGAGATAAAAATATGGTTTAAATTTAAAAAAAAATTCTTCTATTTGCATAATTCAAAATTTAATTATAAAAAAAGCTATTTTATAGGATGTAAAAATTCCAAAATAGTTTGCCATGCTTGAAGAAAAGAACACTAAATTCGTAACTAATTTAATCAAGCTAGAAAAACTTTCAAAAAATGATATTAATTATTCATTAAAAGTTAATTTTTTCAATAAGTGATGAGATTGGCTTTATAAACTTCAGTTTTAAAATTTTGTTATGTCATAGTTTGCTTGAATAATCCAAATTTTTCTAACGGGAAAAGAGTTAATTGACTTATGATAAGTCTCTTATGCTATAATTTGTTACGTCTATTAAATATTTATCTGCAATCTAGCTTTGTATCTGCATAATTCACAATATATTTCCTATTTGATGAAAGTAAAGATTTGGTTACTATTTCAACACCTTTATTTTCTAGGAAACATTTTTGTATATGAAGTTCTATACTTTTGAAAACGAATATTTTTTCTAAAGAATAAAAACATATATATTGATTGGTAAACCATTAAAAGGGTATTTTTCAAGGTATAAAAAGTTATCATTAAGGCTCAACCTTTCTACACCTTTTATAGCCATATAATCCAGATAATTAGGCTTTTGGAAATTTTTCATTATTTCTCAATACGAGATAGTATTGTAAATTATATGCATTCTAATTATGTTAATAAATTTGTCGCATATTCTTTAACATCAGATTATAATAATAATAATATTCAGCTGGTGTTCAATAAAAAATAATTTTAAAAAAATCTGTCAATATATTTAACAAGTAAAATTATATTTAGAAATGATTTTTAAAAATTTATAGACTAAATACAGATTTGTTGGAAAAATCATTATACCGTTCGATTTCTTGTAATTCTTTTTTATTGTATCACGTTAAACTTATTAATCTTGTCATAATTTTGAAATGAATTCAGGAAAAAAATGTATAAGTAAAAGAATAATTATAATTTCTTAAAGTTCATTTAATATTAAGGCCTTCATATATTTTTGAAATTTTAAAAATACTGATAGAAGTTCGCTTTTAATTAAGGAATAGTAGCATATTTTTTAACGATTTTCTTAATTCAAATAAAATAAAATTGAACCAATCAATAATGTTCCAGGGTTTATCTTCTAGGGTTTATTTCCGGGATTCATATGAATTTATATGTTACATTTCTCTACCATATGACTAAATTTGGAAAAATATATATAAAAATAAGAAGACCTAATTTTCGTAGCAATAATGTAACGCTCGTCCTTACTGGGTTAAATAAAAATATATTTTAAAAAAAGAGTCAAACGATCCCAATAATTTTTAAAAATAGGGCAAACAGGCTAAGCAAAATTTTATAGGGGAGGGTGTTAAAAAATTTTAAAACAATGTATGGATGAAAACTTTCCGTTTAAATGATACATCTAATTTTTCAACAAGTATTGAACTTTCCATTAAATGATACATGTAATTTTTCAACTAAGTATTGGTAGAGATAAATTTAACAGTAAGTTCTAGTAGAATCAGAAGCTTTGAAAGGGGTTTGCAAGTGTATGATATATATTATATATAACGTATATAAATTTGTGATGATTATTTACCTTTTCTTAATGCTTCTTGTTTTTGAACAGACTCTTCTTGCCTTGTTAGATTCTCCCTATTAATTTTTTGCTATTTTCAAAAATAATTTATATAAACATGATATCTGAAATACTAAATGAGTAATAAAAAATTATCATAATTATAACCAATCTCAGAATTCGCGTCCCGTTTAATTTGGAATCATAAAAAATATATAGTATAACTGGGTCGGATGCAGCCCGAGGTATCCTATTGGCGCACTCATCTGCCTACGATAAAAAGAATTGGTGAACCCGGTCCCTTCAAATCCCGAAAGTGAGACATCTGATAGTCATAAACAACCTGAGACTTTGTGCGGAGTAGTAATAATGTAAGGGTTCCTACTGTGATTCCACGTGAAATCCATCAGGATTCATAGACCTCTTTCAATAAAACTTTGCATGATTAATATATATATATGTTGTGAGGACCTATGCAATTTAATTATTTAAGCTCTAACTTAATAATTAGTTCCGGAGATATGGTGGATAGCTTAAAAATGGTGCCTTTCCAAATTCGGAAAGATCGACAAAAATAAAGATTACTTAAAAAATATTGATAGAGAATGTGCTAAGAAAATCTAAATTATTTATTTAAAAATTTAATAAAAATATAGAATTAGAAAACATTTAATTTAATAATAAAATATCATTATTTAGTCATTAATTCCCATTTTGTTGTGGTTTATAAGTGTGAGGATGTAAGAGTCTTTGTTAGGGGATTTACAATTCCTATAATATTATTAAATACCAAGGTATCGTAAATTAATAATATACTTTTTTTTAATATTTAGCAACGCTCGATTTTTGTTTCATTCTTTTAACCTTATGTGCTAGATCGATTTGGTATATATTTCCAATAAATGTAACAGCATTAACAACACTAATTAAATTTTAAAAAATTATACTATTCCCATATTATTATAAAAAAATTTATCAAATTCATTTTTTAAAAAAATGTTAAAAAAATTCACCTTAGAAGTAGTGAACTCTAAAAAGGGAAAAATCGTATTGCTAGACAGGCATAAACATAACTGGACTAGGTGAGCTATTAGAATAAAATGTTATTAATTTATATATTTATAAGTTAATCAAATGAGATTGGTTGCTAATCTACCACAACTTTTATAATCATCATGCAAAGTTTCATTCAATTGAAAGAGATCCGCGAAAATTGACCTTTTTTGATCGATTTATCGTGAAATGGCCACTGCACGGAATGCTGGAAGCATGATAGGATGAGCAGGCCAAGTGGTTAAGGCATTATAAGAAAGGTAGATTATGTTGCTTACAAGAGACGAGATGTAAAGTAAAAGGGGGAATAATTAGTATGACGACAAAGTATAAGTTCTTTTAGCAAGGTAGCGATTAGTATTTTTAAAAAGCTCGTTTTGAGCTGATTTTTGAAAATGGTTAACACAATATTCTATCCAAGAAAAGATTACGCAAGCCTGAAGATTTTGCTCGTAGGTGGTACAATGGACATCTATTAGCGAAATCTCGAGGCTTAGAAAATATATTTTCTGGCTAAATATTGAGTTCGCCGTTTTTAAATCGGCTCAAATCGAGCCATCTAGCAACACTAGTAAAGATGTGGTAACGCCGGTGTTGATCATCATCTTGCAGAAAAGTGGATAGACAAAGTCGTGGATGTAATAAGAGTGATGTAATAAGTGCGGTTGATTATTTATTGGTGAGGAAAAGACATGGAGGCAATTCCATGAGAGGAGTGCATCTCGCAACATCGTTTAGTTACCGGCGATTTTATATTCAAGAGCATAAAAAAAAGTAAGATTATAGTATGTTGAAGGTTTAGAAGTTATAGGAGATTTCAATAAATAAATTTGTTGCAACGCTGGACAGAGGTGCGGGTGAAGTCTTTAAAGTATCCGGCATAGTTGGTATAAGGCAACGGGAAAGGTCTGTGGTTGGACAAAGGGACCCCTGAGACACAGATTCGAGATTTCACAACATATGTAATGGTGTAAATGGAAGCCTGCAGAAGGCAAGTGTGATGTTTGTTTGTCGAGAGTGTGTGGGGTGCAAGATGATTGTAGTAATATATATGACTAATTTCTATATAGGAAATGGAATAAGTTTGGAAAAAGTAGGGAAGGTTTGTGTTGACTTGGAAGCTGGGGAGTATACAAGAATTTTCAGCTGAGGTGGGGGGGGGGAGGGTGCCTAACTATTTGGTGGGGGGGGGACAAAAATTTTGAAATAAAACAAATAGACAATAATAGATATTTTTTGCAATTTTTTTAAAAAAAGACAATTTTCATTTTTAAATTTTATAAAGCTAAATTTTGTGTAATTTATTTTCATATTTATGGAATCTTGTTCCTGGAGATTTTTTTCAGAGGAAATATTTTACGATAATCAACTACTTTATGGTACTAGCTTAACGCTTTATATTTTTGGAAGATTTTTAAATGTAGCTTAGGATATCTTACAATAGCGAAAAATATTATCAAAGTATTAGACCTATATTTTAATTCCCATCTTTATTTGTTTTTAAATGTTTTATATGGTTTTTATTTTTATTCCAAATTTGTATATTTTTAAAGGTTATTAAAAAAAACCTACAAACACAAACTAAAACAAATCTAAAATATACCTAAACAAATCCTAGAAACTTAACCAAACTTTCTAAAAAACGAATCGTCAAGAATTATATGAAATTATCAAATCAAAAGAGAATCAAACTACAATAGAAATCCAAAAATTTTATTCAAAAGAAAATTCATTTCTCCAAAAAAATAATAATTTTTTCTATAAAAAAAATTAATGAATCAAAAAAAAAATAATATCAACATATATTATTACATCTAATTTTATATCCAATCAACCTTATTTTAATCGGTTGATTGGCATTTCGCGTAAAAAATAAATATGATAAACGTATTTACAAATACGACATGCCACCCCTTTATGGGATCGTGGCATATCGTTAGAAATAAAACAAAAACGCGCAAAAAAAAATATCTACAAAAAAAAACTTACGACATTATTTAAAGAATAATCTTCTTAGATAGACATTGGATTCACCCAGAAATCATCAGCTAGTGCCGTCTGCGAAGCTTCAACTGTTAGTGTATTGGTCACTAATCTCTGCAAAAAATCTCCTCCCTCTGTACCTCGGACTCCACTCACGAACTGATCCCGAACATTCCCACGACGAATAACCATGGAAGGTCTCTCCATCTCCCTATACAACCCTGAGGGAGCTGCGTCTGTTGGTTGTCTTCCCTCTAACTCGTGATGTCCCCGCTTCTGTCCTTGATAGATACGATTTTCAGATATGGCCTCCAGGGGTACACGCGTCTCCCGCGATAGCCGAGAACACTGGTGCCGTAAATGTCCCACCTCTTGACAATTAAAACATCTACGTCGTCGCGTCTCCTGAATCGGTGGTTGATTTTCATTATTGGACCTTGAGCTCAGAATCATACCATTATTTTTCTTGATTACCGTGATCTGAAGATAAAAATCCCCCATATCAATTAACTTGGAGGTTGTTTCCATTACTCCGATCTGGGGAAAGATTTATGGATATACCGTTCGCGGATTCGTGGGAATATTTATGAATATATCGTTAGATACTGCCTTAATATTATACTCTGAAATTATGAGGAGATTTTTGTCTAGGGATATATATGGCCTTTTACTCAACTTTCACAGAAAAAAATATTAAATGGGAAGCAGTAATATTTTTCTTCTTTTAGAAAAACAAACGAATAAATTATTTTTAAAAAAATGAATCTAACCCTAATACTTTTTTTTCTAACAAAAATATCTTCCCAGTACCAATATTAATGTTCAACAACCGTGATTTATCCTATAAGGCTATGAACAAAATGTATTCACTAACTCTTTTCCTTTTATTTTTTACACTTCTTCATTTACAATACATATATTACCACAATTTCAATCCTTTTTTCCTTGTTTATTACCGACAGCCGGAACATTAAACCAGTTTAACTTAACATTACATATACATACATATACTTTAATTTCTCGTAATATTACCGAGATAACCTCCTTATTCAATTTCACTTTTTTACATAAACAGCTATCAATAAATTCTAATACCATCATATAATAATACATAAACTCAAACAAAAAGGTTACCGACCGTTCACGTACATTTTACTCCTTTATGCTTTAACTTTGCATAAATATATATATTTACCACTTTAAGATGAGCCCCTCTCCTATTTGATCCTTTAACTTCCCATTCCCACATAAACTACATTACCCAAATCTTCATTTATCACATGACTACATTATATATCTGCTCAGAAACGAGTCTAATCCTTCGGGATGCACCTTCATTTTATTTATATATATATTTTCATATTTATATTATCATGAGGTACCTCAGGTTTACTGTGTATGATCATTGTGGCGCATAACTGTGCCGCCCATTTCTAATTGAATCAAATTCAACTTTGAACCTCTGTTTTCCCCAACAATGCCCTTGGCCCATTTCCTGCCCCTCCCGTCAAACAAACGAGTCTATACTTTTTCTCCAACTTCAAACCTAATCTTTCGGTCCTCCCGAACTTCCTTCTCGTGACTCTCGGCCCTTAGAAAATCTAGGGGAACCCTAGTCCTCCGGCCCAAAAACAATTCAGCAGGTGTCACTCCCTCCTTATTCCTAGAATTGAGGTAATACAACTGGGCCAAACACACCCCATTCCCTTGATTGCCGGCTTTCCTTATCCAATTCTTAACAATTGCTACCATCTTCTCAGCTTGATCATTTGAGCTGGGATGATAGGGCGGGGTCAAAATGTGTCGAATCCTAGACTCTTTACAAAACTGCTTGAAGTTTTCGCTAACAAAGGCAGGTCCTCCATCAGATACAATGGTATCCGGCAATCCGAACCTGGCCATTAATGCCCTCAATTTCCTTACAACAATTTTAGTGGTATATCCATGTACCTCCTCGTACTCTATCCATTTCGAATACGAATCTACTACTAAAAAATACGACCTTTTATCTAAATCGAAAAAATCAACATGTAAGCGTTTCCACGGTTTTCTCGA